ATCACGTCGTGAATGGGGTCACTTCATCCACAGACGAACCAGACTTTTTGGAGATGGACTACAGTAGTCTAAGGACCTTCTCGAAACGACAGCATAAAACGAACAACGCCGAGTCTAAAAGCGGAACCGGAAATTCTGCTACTAGTTCCGGTTCCTTTCGCAGGCGCGGTCGCAACGGCAGAAAATTAGAAACGTTGCTTGAAGTAGAAGAGGAAGTTTCTGACGGTCACGCAAGTAATAAATCGTCGACGGAAGACCTAACGCAGGGACCAGGTCCACCCAGAGCGTCACGCGTGACAGAGTTGAAATCACGTTTTGAAGCAGAAGGCGTGACGTCTGCAAAGATGGTAAATCGGTCTCCTAGTCCTGCTCGTCGCGTGGACCCCGAAGGAGTTGAAACACCTCCTAAAATGGCTGGTGTCGACGGTTTGCATTCAGTTAGTGAAAATCGATATTACAATGGAAGAGATTTATTTGACTATTCTTCCTTGAAGTCAAGACCTTCTCATGTAAACGAGGAGGAACAGATCTCCACTTCAAAAGAGGGGGCCCTTGAAGTTTCACCTTCGTCAGAAGCAAAACCTGAACCAGCACACAATGGCACGGAGTGTTCGAGTCCTAGTGATGGAGAAGATTTTTCTGGACACAGTTCTCCTTTGTCGGTTGCGTCTTCGTCCTCTTCTTCATCAAATTCGTCTACTTCCAAAGCTGCAGTCTTTGCAATTACGGGCGTTGTGAAGAAGACGGGGAACTTTGCGCCCCAATCAGAGAAGCCGCAGTCCCAATACTCAGAATCATTTTCGCCTCAACGCTTCCCCCAAGGACTTTCGTATTCAAACAAGTTTGAAAATTCTAGAGCTCAGCCAGAGCAGCCAGTAGGTGATGTTTTAACGCCTAAGAGTGACGATGGAGATTTTCCATTGCAAGCTCGCCTGGTTAAATCAGAAGGGTTTTCAACAAAAAATGAAAATATTGGCACCTCAGCACAACCGACGGTGCTTGATTTTTCAAGATCAAGAATGAAACCCCAACAACCAATACATGAAAGTGTTCAGAATAACCAAATGAATGGTAGGAAAGTCGAACAAAAGTTTTCCAGTCCACCTGAAGTAAAATCTTTAGCGACCAAACTTGAACAATTCAATGCAAGGAGTGCAAAACCAGCTACGGGTGCACAAATTGGAAGCGATAGAGGAAACGTTTCCAAACGGACTGAGCTGAAATCTACGGATTCTTCGGTTAAATCTGGAAAGATACAGTTGTCACGGCTTCGGTATTCGACGGGCACTTCAGTAAACAGCGCTCTGCCGCAACAAATTGTGATGGAAAACAGCGAATCAGAAAAAAACGTGAAGGATCTATCGTCAAAACGAAACAAGGAAACAGCCTTGATGGATGCTTCAGGGGCAAATAGGATGGAAAATTCATCGCATGCTTCGCTGCAACGGTTATCGCAAAACTCTATCCAAACAAATGGCCATGCTGAGAAAGAAGATTCGGTGGCGTCAATTAACGATTTTGGACGCTCAAGCGAAAAGGAAAGATCTGAAAAAACTTCAAACCGAAACGATGAAACTGATAGCTCAAGAATGTTCTATGAAAAACAAAATAATGATATCTTGCCTGTGGATGATACGCAAACCCCGCCATTAGTATTTCGACCAATATCTTACCGCGCGAAGAAGTCAGCTGGTTTGCAAAGTAGCGTCAGTACATCTGCCGATCGATCCGAACTCGGTTCTGCGATTTCTAATTCGGTATCCATTCGTGGCAACTCGTCTTCGCTTACGAAGATAACGGTAACGCCGTCTGCTTCGTATTATAATGCGAGAGATTCGAACATCCCCGAGCAACGTTCGCCTGTTCCGACGAGTAAACGATCTAGGTTTATGTTTCACAGCGTGACTCCTACTTCATCCGAGGGTGACACTTTACTCGGTGGCACTTTTAACGAACAAGAACGCAAGGAATTCGGAGACAATGGAAATTCAGACAAGGAAACTGGACTCACAAATACACAGATTAATAACCAGGCACGAGAAAACACAGATGCTCTCCTAAATTCCAAACAAGTCGTTTCTTCATTCAATATACAGCTATCGAGTCGGAGTCAAAAAGCGAAACAAGGACTGGAAGAAATTTCTTCGCCTGAGAAAATTAGTAAATCAGATCAAGGGAAAGAAAATAATAAATCTTCGGAACTTGTCTCATCAAGAAGGAAAATCTTCGAAGGTAAAGAGCTTATTGTCGAAAGTGGTCGACCCAGTTCCAAAAATGAACAAACTAACTCCGAAAGAGACCGAGTACCTCCCGAAATCGGGCCGTTTTATCACGACAATGGTAATTTAAAACCCGAAAGTGGTCGACTTAGCTTCGGAGTTGGTAGACCAGATGTCGAAAGTCTTCGATTAAGTCGGAAAGGAGAAAGTGAGGAAACGAATGAAAACACACCGATAGATTTATCTTCCGAACTTTCAATTTCTCCGAATGCAAATCTTCCCGATGTTACCAGAGTTGGTTTTCAGAAAAGCCAACTTGAACAAGCACGTTTTTCCAAAACTACGTTATCTTCTTCAGAAGATGGAATCCATGGGTTCAACGCTGAACTGAGGCCAAAGGATTCACATGATAAAAATGACACTCTTTCAGGAACCAATCAAGGTTTAAGAGACCTGGAAACAAAGGACCGGGTAACAGTTCAAGATTTCCCAGTTGATATCAATAATATTAACACAGTGACACCCTTGTCTGTAAACGGAGATATAGGACTCGGTAGTCAGTCGAATAACTCCTTATCAGAACTCGTCCAAGATAAGCGGAATATTGATGATACCTCAAAGTTCGCGCTCGTGAATGGAGATGTACTTAAAAATTCTCCAGAAAACTTGTCCAGCGATTCTACGGAAAGTGCCGCTACGCCTGCGCAGAAGATTTCTAAAAAGAAGAAGCCGAGGCGCGTCAGCCTTGACCCTTATGCTGTATTACTGGACGCTGCAGTTGAGGGGGAACTGGATCTAGTAAAGCTAGTCGTTCGTGAGGTACTGTTTTGAAATATCTCATCTCCTTTTCTCTCCTTCTTTCTTTGTTTTATTTGTATCTCTTTATTTTTTCTTTATTAATTTTTTCTTCCTTCCTTATTTTTTCTTTCTCTCTCTTTCCCTTTCTTTCTAACTTTCGTTTTTTTTTTCCCCTCTGCCCTTTTTTTTCTTTCGTCTAACATGAGTTGCTTTAGGCTGCCTTCAACCATTAAAAGTGATTCACATGAAAGTTCTCCCTACAATTTCCATACATTGTCCTATAAACAAGTAAGGAGAATAGACAAAATCATCACCCAGGGGGTTTTATCTTGTCAGTTATAACATGGTATTCTCCTAACAAATATACTTGGAAATGTACAGAAAGTGGAAGGGAGAATTTGAAATCGAACATGTGAGGTTTTGAGGTTAGGCAACTGACTGGCTTCATTATCATGTTTCTTAGGTGGATGATCCCAGTGAACCGAACAATGATGGTATCACAGCCCTTCACAATGCTGTTTGCGCAAGTCACGATGAAGTGGTTAAATTTCTCGTGGAATTCGGTGTGGATATCAACTCACCAGACTCGCATGGATGGTATGAAGACGTTAAGTTTACCCTTAAATTTCAACGTATAGTTAAGTTATATCGCCGTTGATGACATGGAATAGAACGCAAGTCTCGTGGCCTTGGTGAAAAAGGCGCTGTGAGAGTGAAACCGTAGTTTTATTGAGTGTCGTTTAACAACAACCAAAATGATCATAGCAGCCAGTCATAGCAGATAAGAACCTTCCCAGTGGCCAACAAGAGCTCAAAGTTAAAAAAAGAGAAAACAGACAAATGAAGTGTCTGAAGCGCGGGAAGGTCTAATGTTCAAATCTCTTAGTTCAAATCCTCTTTTTGAATCACGTTCGTGAAAGATTTTTACTTTTTCTTGAAAATATTTTACTTATGGTCCTCTTCTTTTCCCTTTGCACAGGAGTCCACTTCACTGTGCAGCTGCCAACAACGCCACAGAAATGGCTCGCTTCCTAATTGAACATGGCGCGTGTATTTTTGCTGCTACTTCACTAGAGAAGAAAACTCCCATGCAGTGTTGTGAACGGGGTGTACCCGATTACTTTAGCTGTATGAAATATCTGAATGGTGAGTCATTCTCATATTTTGGAATGTTTATTATTATTATTATCATCATTATTTTTTTTTTGTTCGTTGTTTCATTATTTGTTTTTGGACGGAATGCTTTAATAATTAGAATCATGGAAAAGAGTTGAGTCCTCATCGTCGAAATCGTGATCAGAGTTTCTCAGAGGGTGTAAAACTGTCATTTATCCTCCTCCTTTTTACTTGTGTTTATGAGAAGGCGCTAGAACTAGTTCCGCGAGATTTGTGCAACTTTCTTGGCAATATCCAAATAAGAGTGTTTTTTTTCAGATTGTTATCGAAAGTAAATGTAGTTTGGGGACTGCTGTAGCTGTGTTTGACTAAGATTTATAATTGGGTTAGAAAACTCGTGCTGCACTCTCGACCGATAAGTTAAAAAACTAAAATCAACCACAACTTATTTGGTTTGTTCTCGATTTCCCGTGTGTGAGGCAGTTAAAAGCTCTCTCCTCCAAGGTCTTACTGATTTCCTGTGATATTTCCCTTTATTGTGATTACTTTGGGTATGGTGTTACGACACTCAATAAGAAAGAGTTATTGACTCCGGATTATCGGATTACTTTTTCGGATTCTCATCGTGGATCGCCTTTTTTCACGGATTTTGTCCACCGATGTCGAAGAGATCGACATTTTTCTCCCAGTAAAAAATAAGATTCTTTTCTACCCATCACGGAATAAATGACGAGTGGCATGAACGCGTGTAGACCTATACCAAAACTGATTAGAATGGTTTCTATTAACACTGTCTTTTTCTCTCCTCATTCAGATGTTCAGGAAAACTTCGGACTCGTTAACGACGGTCGGGTTTACGCACTCTACACCTACACAGCTGAAAAGGACGACGAGTTGAGCTTCGAATGCGGCGAAGAATTACTGGTACTGACGCGGGGAGATGAGACCGAGAAGGAATGGTGGTGGGCCCGGAACAACTGCGAGGAGACTGGGTACATACCGAGAAATTTACTTGGGGTAGGTGATAATACCTTATGTGAGCTTCTTTCTATGGAAGGGCGGTGAATATCTTTGTTTTGTTTCTTCTTGCTTGATCGCTCATGCTGCCCTAAAATCATCTCCAAATTGATGATACATCCAGGCTCTGGGTGAAGCCACCCTTGGAAATTCAAATACCTTTTCTTGACAACGATTTGAACGTAACCAAGAACAACCTGCCCTGTTGGGTGTGTCCGCTGTGGTCTACCCTGCGACCAGGCGCGTTTTTTTGCCTCTCTCTTTTCCTTTTTCAGGGGCACGCGATGGCGTAGCAGCGCAAGAGTCAGTGGTCGGAAACACGTTCCGTCCACTCTTGTGTCACCGCACTATCCCCCCTTCCCCGAAAGATATGAACTCCTGATCGAGGGCTAACCACGGTCTTGATATGTGTTTAACAGGACATACGATTCTGCAACGTCTTGGACAGGATGTCTCTCTAGACCTCAAGTCCTGAACAAGGCGTGAACATTGGCCATGCGCGGTTTTCATGCGCAGTACTAACATTTTTTTCATCTCATTCTCCGTAATTTGACTGAAGTGGCTCTGTGAAGCCGATATGTCAAAATTCGCGATGTATTGCACAGTTAGCGGTATGAGCAGATTTTGTCATCATGGGGATCAGGGCCTTCGGCTGCATTCCCTTCCCATCCCCACCCCTGGGCGCAAACCTTCCTTACGTACATTGTTTATAAAATGTTTATAATATTAAGGCTTTACATGGTTGATTCTTTTCTCACAGTTACGCCCCAGAATTTCGCCCGTTTGACGAGGCAAAAGAAACGCTAATCTAAAGAAGGAGAACTTATGTGCACGAAATACAGTCAAAGACTAAAACAAGCTAGAACATATTTGGGGGAACATAACTTATATCACAAAATTCTTTTCAAGATTACTGCTAAAAGCCATGAAAGAGGTTGTGCCTCAAAATCTGATTAGAAAACAGTGAGTGGTAAACTGTATCAGTAACTTAATGATAATAGTGTCTTTACATGCACAAATAGCAATTTTTTTTTCAAGGCCAGGTAGTAGCAGATTTGTCATTCTGTTTTGGATCTAGCGTTGAATCACTTTCGAATATTTATAGAAATAGTGGCTATTTATTTTTTAAAGAAGTAGAACTTAATAAGATTCTTTTTCACATCAACAATAGTTCAAAACACAAGCATAATTTTTTAGTAATGGTATTTGCAGAAATATATATTTAAATGATATTATTAATGAGTATGCATATTTCATATATTTGAGCACTTTATGATGGGTGACATGATAACAAAAACCTAATAATAAATATGTTGATAATTTATCTTGGACAAATTTAGGTTTCTGGGAAATCAGAGCTTAATGATAGCCAATTTCAGAATAGTTTATATAACTGAGTTTCCAAGATAGTGAAATTTGTTGCAATGTCAACTTACTAGAAAAAGGTACATGATTATATCATTGAAAAATCAAGTTTGTGATTTCATTGTCAAATGTTTTTCTAAGACTTGAATCAACAGTTTTTGTGAAAGAAAAATTTATTTAACTAAAATTAGTGGCTTAGGTCTATAAACATTAAATTAATATATAAATGCACAAGTCTTCTCTGTTAGATTTTGTCACCAGTGCCCAGTCCTAACTCTCTCATTACCTATGACGTCACGAACTTATGAAGTCACATTTATGCCACCTGCACCTCCCCCTCTAATACTCCAACCCCACCCCTCCCTTGTCAAACTACAACCCTTCCTTTAACCCTTCAACTCCCATGAGTGACCAAGATGGAATTTCTCCTTACAATGTCAATACAATATCAACCAGATAAGTGTTGAGA